AACCTATAATAGGAACGACTGAAAAGCATGAACAATGTTAATACTGTCACAACCTACAATAGAAATGACTGAAAAGCATGAACAAACAATGTTAATACTGTCACAACCTACAATAAGAATGACTGAAAAGCATGAACAAACAATGTTAATACTGTCACAACCTACAATAGAAATGACTGAAAAGCATGAACAAACAATGTTAATACTGTCACAACCTACAATAGAAATGACTGAAAAGCATGAACAAACAATGTTAATACTGTCACAACCTACAATAAGAATGACTGAAAAGCATGAACAAACAATGTTAATACTGTCAGGAACTACAATAGGAATGACTGAAAAGCCGGAACAAACCACAGTATTAACATTGTTTGTTCATGCTTTTCAGTCATTTCTATTGTAGGTTGTGACAGTATTAACATTCAGTATTAACATTGTTTGTTCATGCTTTTCAGTCATTCTATTGTAGGTTGTGTGACTGAAAAGCATGAACAAACAATGTTAATACTGTCACAACCTACAATAGGAACGACTGAAAAGCATGAACAAACAATGTTAATACTGTTAAATACTACAATAAGAATGACTGAAAAGCATGAACAAACAATGTTAATACTGTTAGAAACTACAATAAGAATGACTGAAAAGCATGAACAAACAATGTTAATACTGTTAGAAACTACAATATGAATGACTGAAAAGCATGAACAAACAATGTTAATACTGTTGACATCTTATCTCTAAAACTGTAAATTAAATAATTTATATTTCTTGCCAAACAGTTGTTGTTATCTAACAAAACAACTATTTCTTTCAATAATAGTGCTATGAGTACAGTTATATCACTGATGTAATACAACAAAGTTGTTAATTTGGAAGAAGAAAAACAAATAATAATAAAGAATAAATTGACATGTCTATATGAAACCTATTTGTGCAACATTTCAAGCCCTTTGTCAGATAGTAAAGACCAAGTTACAATGGAATTAAGTTCATTTTTAGTAGCATGAAAATAATCTATACTTTGTGTCACTTGGTGTGAACCCCAGAAAGGGGTTTAAATTCATTTGTCTGTCATGTTTCAGTGTAGTGGATGGATATCTGCACTCTGTTTGCCATGGGGTTTGAGCTCCAAAGTTTACTATTGAGACACTGTGGGGGGTAATAGTTCACCAGGAAAGTCATACATGTCAATAATGAACAATACAAAATAAATGTGCTTGTTCAATTGTATCTTAGTTAATTTGTTATTCAGGCGAAGTTTAGTTACTAAACTCAGAGAGAACATCACTTTGTCAAAAATACAGACTTTACACGCAAGATTTTCGAGCTTGGACTACTAGTACTGAATTATGTTTTGTTTTTTTGTTACAGTCAAAACAGAAAATACAATTAAAACAAAATATTCTTGTATCATTTCAACAAATGATACACAGATATTATAAATTATTGTACAGAAACCTTATGTGGAAATAACATTTATCGCATGCAACACCAGTCAATAGTTTTAATTTTCTAACCTTGAAACAGTAAGCTAGAAGCAGGTTTAAAGAAATATGTCCAAAACTGAGACAACAAAGTTAGAAACTCTCTGCCTCGGACTTTCTAGCTGCAATTTCATTGGTAATAACAATAATCAACTCAAACAATGACCAGTCACTTTTAATGAAATATTCTGTTTATCATGCTCCATAAGCAGCTGAGTAATTGAAAAAACTACAATTTAAACTGACTACAGCCACTTACCACTTGTTTTGACTAATTTCGTAAACCCATAATCCATTTCTGATGTTCTCTTCTCTTTTATCCTTTTCTCGATTTGAACCCTAGCAGAAGGAAATAATATGTTTGTAAAACTGACTACTGTATACATTCTTTCATGACATCAGAAAGATCTCTTGTATACAACAATGTTTACAACGACAAACAGATGCTCATGTCTAATGAATGTAAACACCGAGTCACGCCATTATTCGTTATTGATCTAACATCCTCTAGGAACTTTAAATAAAAGGAGATCACGGTTTAGTTTTAAACCTTATACGATTAACGAAAAGCACGAGACTCGGTCAAGTAGCAAGCTTACAGACATTACAGTTTAAAAGATAAATTCCACACTGACACATCTCATTTCTTTGTGTCTGGATGTTTAAAACCTATTCTTATCTCCCAAGGTGCAGAGTTAAATATGCAGAATGTTAGAAGTAGTTAATAAAGGGAACACTTACACACAAAACATGAATTTCACTCAGCTCAGGATCAATGGTGGCTCTCTGTGTTAGGCCAGTAGAGGGCACTGTAAATAAGGATGTGACGTTACAAAAGAAACAGGTTTCAGTAACAAAGTAGTGTACTTGAAAACATAATATTTTAATACTATAACAGTAAAAATAACAAGTGACCATAAGAAAGAAGCAACACACATGAAAGAGAGAAAATTTTCTGACAGAAATATAGCATTAAACTTGATAATTACATTTTTATTTGGTGATAGACATCTGCAGAGCAAGATGACGAGGCATGATAAGTAACTTTCCACACTATTCATTAACTGCACTGATGATTTCTTAACATAAAACAAGGAATGAACAAAGATTTAAATTAAATATGAAAAACGTTGTAGCCTAACAGACTTTTGTTTTAAAACTATTTAAACTTCTTGACATAAGAAAGGCTTATTTGTATTTTATTCACTATTTATATAAAATTTATAAAACCTCAATTAATACAGTACAGATATAACAAGATATAATGATCTTAATACAGCAGCATTTCTTAACCCTTTAAGTACCAGGGATGGTCCTTTCATCTGTTGTCGATCGCTAAAACACGACAACCATTACAATTTACAAATAAATGTTCTGTCAGCTTTTGTTAGTTTACACGAAATCCCATTGACTGGCAAGGTGGTTGTGACAAACCTGCACCTGTCTGCAGACCGATGACCGAGATAGAGGAGTTGTAGTATAAAATGAAAATATTACATTTAAGTTTGTATTTAATATCATTACTTTTAATTTTATTTTCATCTGTTTCCCAATAATAATAAAAATAATTTCCCATATTACAAACAAATAACAACGTGATATTGAAGATGACAACTGGTTCTTTATTAAAACAGTTTTCATAACATTTACTTCAGTTTTGATCCTGTGAGTGTTGTATTCTTTGTTACTTTGTTCATGATGTGTTTTCAGTTTACTTACTGGTAAGATTTTTATATGAATTATAAAGAAAATGTATTTGTATGCACCATCCATAACTCAAAATGAACAAATTAATGTACACGTCAATTGAAAACGTCCCCCTACCTTCCACTTTTGCTCCATCACAAAGAACTTGAACTTCACCAGTGTCAACATTATAGGTGTAAAAATCACTCAACTGTTCTTTTGACCTCTGTCCGGCAAATATATAGAGCTTGCGGTTTTTCTGGAAGATATTGTAAGTCACTGGTCAATAAACTGATATACATACCTTACATGAGATTAAGTAATACAGTTATTTAAACACTGGTAATACAGCTGTTTAAACACTAGTAATACAGTTGTTTAAACACTACTAATACAGCTGTTTAAACACTAGTAATACAGTTGTTTAAACACTGGTAATGAGTTGTTTAAACACTAGTAATACAGTTGTTTAAACACTAGTAATACAGTTGTTTAAACACTAGTAATACAGTTGTTTAAACACTAGTAATACAGCTGTTTAAACACTAGTAATACAGCTGTTTAAACACTGGTAATGAGTTGTTTAAACACTAGTAATGAGTAATCAGCAGGTGAGACTGGGATCAGACTTGTTATATGCTTCAAGGAACCTCTGTAAGTAAAATGATATTCGGTAGTCTTAAAAATGTTATAATGGCTACTCTTTTGGGTCAGTCATTCTTTATGACAGTGGTCTAGATGGAGTTTCATGATTTAACCAACAGCATGTTAAAAAACTCACTATGATGGAGTTTAACGATTTAATCAACATGTTAGAAAGTCACTAGATGGAGTTTCATGATTTAACCAACAACATGTTAAAAACTCACTATGATGGAGTTTAACGATTTAATCAACATGTTAGAAAGTCACTAGATGGAGTTTCATGATTTAACCAACATGTTAGAAAGTCACTAGATGGAGTTTCATGATTTAACCAACAACATGTTAAAACTCACTATGATGGAGTTTAACGATTTAATCAACATGTTAGAAAGTCACTAGATGGAGTTTCATGATTTAACCAACATGTTAGAAAGTCACTAGATGGAGTTTCATGATTTAACCAACAACATGTTAAAAAACTCACTATGATGGAGTTTAACGATTTAATCAACATGTTAGAAAGTCACTAGATGGAGTTTCATGATTTAACCAACAACATGTTAAAAAACTCACTATGATGG